CGCTTCCGCGGCGGCTCGGGGTAGAGGCACGCCGTCATGGACCCGCGCCTCGCGCGGACGGGCCGCTCGCGGACCCACTTGTTCGCGATCCACTTCTCGGTGTCGCCCGCGATGGGCTCGCCCGCGTGGACCGTCCTAGCGTCGACGGTCGTGTCGTCCGCGACGTTGGCGAAGACGAGGAGCCGGCCGCGGCGCGGCGCGACGGACAGGCCGAGCGCGGGGAAGACGGTCGCGCCGCCGGCGCCGACGTCGCTGAGGTAGAGCAGCGCGGTCGTCAGCCGCTGGCCGCCGCGCTCGAGCTCCGCGTTGCCCGCCTCGAAGGCGTCGGCGTGCGCCGCGTAGCGCTCGCCCGTCGACGGCCGGTACCTCACGACGTGGAAGAACTCGGTCCGCTCCTCGGGCGCGCCGAGCTCGGCACAGATCGCGTCCTCGAGGTGCTCGAGCGCCTCGTCGCCGCGCGCCGCGAGCCAGCAGCTCGACGCGCGGCGTATCGCTGTCCGCGCGGCGCTCCCGCGGCGCGTCTGGACCTCGGCGCCGCCCAGGGACGGCCGCGCCTGGCGGATGAGGTGTTCGCAGCTGTCCTCGTCGGCGAAGTCGTCGATGAAGTAGACGAGCGGGTCCGCGCTCAGGTCGACGCGCGCTCGGCACGGCGTGCGGTCGGACATCGTTGGGTCCGCGCTCAGGTCGACGCGCGCTTGGCGCGGCGTGCGGTCGGACATCGTTGCTGCAGCGGTCAGGGCTCACCCCAAGAGGTCTCCTCGCCGAGGGCGGTGGCGGCCGCGTCGAGGAGCCAATTGAGCAGCAGCGCAAAAGTCACATACTTGAGCGAGTTCAGGAGCACCTTCTTGGTCCCGGGGTGCTTGAGCGAGTCCAACAGGGACACCATTTCGGTCGGTCTACGCTCTCATTGCACGGAATCGGAGCGCATCTTAGGAGCGCGGTCAGATCGTGCAGTGTACTTGCCGCTCATGTTGAAGTTCGTTACCTGGCACTGGTTGCGAGTTGCAGTGGATACCCCGTCGCTTGAACTATTGCAAGCCAAGACAAACTTTGAAGAAATCCTAGCTTCTAGAGGGCTAGAGACGGTGTCTCCGCTGGAGTATTCAGCGGCCGATGATGGAATCTCCACCTTAGAGGGGCCCGCGCTCCTCGAATATGCAGCGACGTGCAACGATCCCAGTGGCTTTGAGGTCCGCAAACATGTGGGTGAGGCACATGAAAAGACGCGACATCCGGACGATTGCGAGGCGACGCAAACGGGCAGCCTCAGGGGGTGGAATGAGGCGCGGCAGCTTCCCCCGACCCGATTTTCGGTCCCCTTCGAGTCACAGAGCGTCGGGAATCGTTCGTCATGGGAGCGACCAGATGCCCTCGCGGCAGCTCTTCGACTCGAGCCGATTTGATCGAGATCACCTCACCGGCTCCGAGAGGCGCGCGGCGCCGCGGGCGACACGGTGCTCACCGCGCAATGCACGAGGCCGTATGTGCGACCAAGCCCGGACAGCCCCCTCGGGAGGGACATTCCAGGGGGTGTTTCTTCGAAGTTGGTCGCACATACGGGACCTCAGCACTAATGCGAGCCCCTCGTCGGTCGCCCCCCACCGATAACCGCCGTTCTCGTCGTCCACGGGCTGCCCCGACGCGAACTAAGTTGCTCCCCATCGACCGATGGTCT